CTGAGACCGTGTCTCCTCTCGATCGGTGTTGGTATTTTGCAGCGGATGTCCGACGGTAGGGTTTCGTGGTGTTTATCGGTGAGGGAATCGTTATACTCTTTCTTCTTCTAATTGCTCCTCGTCTTTGCTCTTCTACCGCATATGCTTATCTAGATTTTTGCGAAGCCCAATTCTGTCGCTTGATGCAAAGTTTGGTTTGATATCGTTGAAACCAGTTACGTGGTAAAAGGATGTGCTAAATCTGCAATTTAGTTGCTTCGTGAGCCCTAATTCCGACGGTTTTAAGATGCACGAGTTGTGGCTCCATATTTTTTCTTATGGTACAGAAATTGTGGGTGATCCATTCAGGGAATCTGCAAAAGTTGATGGGAACGCGGGTAGTTGGTGGTGCGATTTTCATATACGGTCTGTTGGTTGGTTTCTTTGACACTAACAAAGTCGGTGGTTAGGGGTTTTCTATTGATCAGGCCAGTTAGGGTTTGAGTGCAACCATGATCGTGTGCTCGTTAAAGATACAACCTTGCGAGTCTTTTGCGTATACATTTACGTCGAGAAGGTCAAGTGTTTTCATGAATATCATATATTACATGAATGGGGGTGGCCCATTTTGTATTTTGTCGCTTGGTGGTGAAATCCTTTCAGTGGTATAACTCCTTATGTCCCTTCTCTGTCGCCTAGAATTTTTTTATTCGGATGGAAAATCTCAGAGTTGCGCCTTAATTTGCTTATGAACGCACTAGTTGTGATAACTATATTTTGATGTACTAGCCTAATACCTGATATTGTTGTTGGTTGATGATGCCTGATTATGTCTATTTGGTTGTTTTTGTTGCCACCTGGTTGTCCTATATTTCTGTACAAATTAAATTGTTTCGTTCAAGTTCTGCCAATTGTAATCGATTAAGTGAATCTGAACTCTGCAATGTTCATTAAATCAGTGGCCGCCTCGTGTTCTGTTGTAGTCTGGTGACCCACAAATATCTGTTGCCTTCTTGGTCTAAGTTGAAGCGATGGTTTAGCGACTATAGTTACCTTTCTGCTCTATCCTTTTCTGAATGGAGTCCTAGATGGGAGCTTTGGAATAGTTAATAGAAACCAAGTACATGCATGGATTGGAGGCCATGTTTGAGGAAAGAAAGTTGTTCTGAAAGTTGTGTCCCTTTTTCCCTATAATTGAAGCTGTCCCTAACTATTCCAGCTGCCCATCTGCTCTATCCTATTCAGTGATTGCCTTAACTAGAGTCCTAGATGGGAACTTTGGAATGATTAAATATTGATGAGAAAATACATGGATTGGTGGCCATGTTTGAGTAACAATGTTGTATGTCCGAAATGCCATCAATTATTTAATCATTCCAGTTGCTCTTCTGCTCTATCCTGTGAAGACCAAGTCTTATATAGATTCATGCAAGGTGCCTTTGGATTTAGTGATTCCAACTGAATATACATGCATGGATTGGAGGCCATGTTTGAGAAAGAAATTTGGTCCGAAAGTTGTGTCCCATTGTTTCTTTAATTGAAGTTGTCCCTAACCATTCCAGCTGCCTATATGCTATATGTGGTTGCCTTAACTAGAGTCCTAGATGGAAACTTTGGAGTGATTAAATATTGACTGAGAAACTACATGGATTGGTGGCCATGTTTGAGTAACAATGTTGTATGTCCGAAATGGCAGCGGTTATTTAACCATTCTAGTTGCCTTCTGCTCTGTCCTGTGAAGACCACGTCTTATATAGAGTCCTAGAATGTATCTTTGGAGTTAGTGATTCGAACTGAATATACATGGGTTGTTTGCTCTTAAGTATTGTGTCCCTTTGCTCTATCTTGTGAAGAAAAAGGTCACAAATTGTGTCTTAGAAAGGGTACTTTGGAGTGATTGATACTAACTGAGATATACATGGACTGGTGGTCATGTTGTTGCTCCAAATCTTTTGTCCCTTTGCGTGTTATTATGAGATAATCACGATTGTTTGTTGACTGAAAAGAACTAATAGGAATCCTAGAGGAGGGGCCTTATCAATGATTACTGTGAAAATATTGTCCATTATGTCAGGTTGCGTGTTGTTGTCCTGCATATCTTCTGCTGGATTATTCAGTTGTTAATCTTCCCAAGTCTGACACGGAATTACAGCTGGAACGTGCCCGAGTCATGGAAGAGTTGGCGCTACTGCATTTGTCCGAGTTGGCCTTGATAAGGAGACTACCTACCCTGCCAAATCTGGTGAACTAGTGCTCTTGCCCTTTTCTTTTGCTTTTTAAATGCATTATTGAAGTGAAGAAGTCTTTAGAATCTTCAAACATTATGCTGCAGACAGTCCATGGAGAGTAATTTGATGTTGCTACTAATAGAAAATGTCCACATCCAAGAGTAGTTTATGAGTGAATCAACGTCTTAAAATTACAGTTATGAGGTTTCCCAAGATTCCATCAACTATGGAGTTCTCAAAGGTTGATTTTGGTACGAATCACTTTTTGGTTGTTGTTGTGCATATCCCTCTTTTGAGAGTTGATAGCTGGAACCTCATGCGTATACGTATGAGATTTCCCTAGGGTAAAACAAGGTGTTTATGGTTTGTTTTCAAACATATTATTTGCAGCTACTGCATTGAACTAAAGGTTGCATGTATCTGCATGACTTCCTTTTTGAACTTGCAATTTAACTTGTGATTGTAAATGCAAGTCATTACTGGAAGATCTTGGAAGGGTGACTTCACTAATGTCTGCTTAAAGATAATGGCTGTGACAAGCGAGCAAAGTTTAAATTAGGTCTCAAAAGTAAAAGCTTGCTTAATCTGGTTGTTCTTTTGCCTTTTTGACACACATTAGTTGGAACTCTGTTGGTTTAAATTAATAATGGGTCTTTTCTTTGGGATTCAGTGTTGCATTAAATTATTAATAGGAAGGCTCAGAAGAGGAGCTTAGTTTACTCATTTTCTCACTTGAAGCTTTGTATTGTGACCGGGTCCTAGACAAAAATTAAGCCAGTCTTGGCTCTCCTTCAGAATCAGGGGACATTATGAGAATGCTTAAGTGGAAGTAAAAGGTACTGGACTAGGATGTTCCTTTGTATTACCACCATGAGGCTTTCGTTGGGATTCATTGTTCCTTCTGTAGTTGCAAATTGTGCATGTTGATTGGGTGACAGAAATCATCTTATTCAATACTGGATTTTGAACAGTAAATCTCTAAGAATGGTCCTGGCAAAGGAAGAGGGTTCACTGGTTAACTATTTTCCAATTTCAAACATAAGAAGAATGTAAGCTTGCTGTAATTTGGTTCCTGTCATGAACGTTTGTATCTTATACTCTCAGAAATCAGTTTTTGGGAGGAAATCTATCTTCTCATGACTTGATAGAAAGATATTAGTCATTTACTTCATCTGTCGATCCAATATCATTTCGTTGATATCTGGAGACTAGAAACTTGGAAAGGGTTGTGGATAGAATTCCTTACTTAATAATGCAAGCTAGAAGTTATATGCTAGGGAGAGATTGTTCTTTTGGTTGTACTTGTGTGTTCCAAACAGAATGCAGGTTCGCAAAGTTCCTATCCTAGACGGGTCGATTGGTTTCTCCTGTAACCATTATGCTGGATTTGTACTTGCATATTGTTTTGACATCATTGAAGCGACGCGTCTTGCTTTCAGGTCATTTCTGGTCAAGCATTCAAACCTTCAAAAGATATTTGCTTGCTGCTGGATTCTCACCTGGCGACACTTAAAAGAGGGGTCCTAGAAGCAATCCTACTTAAATTGTTCGGTTTGGCTTGGTTGAAACGTGCAAGTTCATTACAATTTACAAGTCTTGAGGTGGAGCTAGAAATTCTATTTGTCCAAGTGATATGATGCTGAGCATCCTGTTTTTGCAAGTTGGAAGGAAGATTCTTACAGAGCAATACTGTTTTCTGTCCTTCACGATTTATCTGCAGCACCATCTGTTTCTTGAACTCACGACTCAATGAGAGCATGTTTTGGAAGGTGTGGATAACCCTACCTCTGATAAGTTTTGTTTCTTTGTGAGATTCTTGCGTACTTCAGGATGTCGATTCTTCTATCCTACTCTTGTTGTTCATTTATTATTTCCTTAGAACTATTGAAAGTACATATGGAATCCTAGCCGTGACATAGTGCTGGAAGTGTAAACCTTGGAGTTGAGAGATTATTAATGAGCTTATACATCTTCATGCATTCTATAAGCTGAACCAGAAGTTGTACTGGGGCAATGCGGTGCGCTACTGTCTTCATTTTGTAATGAAATTTGATTCATTCCTCAGTTATATTATGCGATAAAGGAATGTCCTCTGGTGTTCATAATGTGACTGTGAACATGAAAGCTGATGTTGGATCTTTGACTGACCAAAGCCATTACCTTTCATCCGGTCTTGTGTTGGTAGAACTCAAGGAATACAGATTCTTATTACATCTTACCACTATTTATTTCTGATAGATACCTCTTTCAATCGACCTGTTATTGTTGTTGGTTTTCTTCTGCTCTCAAACCCAACAAAGGATGAACCTTCATGTGGTTCGACGAAGGATGCAATGCAATGCAATGTCCTAAATTATTATACCTTCACGATTGAATGTCTATGAATGATCTGCCCAGTTCTGTTCTGTTCTATTTTGGCTTCCGTCACTGAAGTTCTGAAGCGATGGATGATGAACCTTTCTCCTCACCGCCGGAGTGTTTCCGTCAAAGTAAAAGCTTGTAAGTCCGGCATCTCTCTCTGGAGATAAAAATCAATAAGCAGAATCCAATTCTGACTCACCCTTGTTTGATGTTAGCTTCCTCGACGAAGACTTTGGCTGACACAAGTACTAATTTTATTTCAGAATTGAAGTAATGAACCAACTACACAGAAGGAGCTCTGACTTTGACTGCGTTGTTCCTTCCGCTTCTGATTCTCCTCTAGAAGCTGTGGCCGGGAAGGAGAAGCTCCGACGTCTCGAACGATATTGATAATGGTTCTCCGCAGTCAGATTCTAACCCTTTCCGCCTCTTCCGATTGGGGAGTATGAAGTGTTTTTGAGTTTCACAGGTCCTGACACTCGGTCACCAGATCACCGATGTCCTATACCATTTTCTGGCCCCCACCTGAAAATACGTACCTTCAAGGACGATGATGAGCTCCGGAAGGGGGAAGGGATATGGCCGAGGCTAGTCAATGCTATCGAGCAATCGAAGATTTATGTTCCAGTTTTGTCAGAGAACTATGCTCCTTGTTGAAATCGTTAAACGCCAAGAGCAAGACATGGGTTGCATCATACTCCCCATTTTCTACATGGTGGATCCCAGGGATATACGACATCAGACGGGATCTTATCAGAAGGCGTTTCGACAACATGTGAAGAACTTCCATGGGAAGGCCATACAAAGCTGGAAAGATGCTTTGAGTAAAGCTGGAGCTTTGAAATGATGGCATGTCTGAAGCAATTGTGAGTACTTATTTTCCTAGCCTCTTGTCTACGTGCGTTAAACTTTGTTTGATAACTTGGCCTTGGCATTACTTATTTGTTACTTGTCCCGCTATGTTTGATATTGTCTCCGGTGCTGTATGGTCACACCTAAGTGAGAGCAGTTATGTAATAGAGACTGATAAGTTGGTGGGAATTGGTCATCATGTAGAAGCAATAAAAGAAAGATGAGTTTGGAATCTGGAGGTGTGACAATTATTTGCATTCATGGTATCGGTGGTGTTGGCAATACTACTGTGGCAACCATTGTCTATAACAAAATGTTAGCTCTCTTTGACCGTTTTAGCTTTGTCGAAAATGTGCGAGAAACATTGAAACAGAAGGATGGTGTTAGTGTTATCAGTTTGCAGAGCAGTCTAATATCCAACTTATGAGAACAGACTATTGGATCTGTTAGGAATGTTAGTGAAGGAGTCAGAACTATAAGAGATAGAATTTCAAGATTCAAAGTTCTTATTGTTCTTGATGACGTGGATGGGTTGTTTAAATTTGATGAAATCTTTGGAAACCATGAGAATTTTGCTCAGGGGAGTAGATTTACCATTACCTCTAGAACTATGTGTTCTAATTTTGCTGTAACTATGTGTTGACATTAAACCTCTGCAGCAACTTCAGCAAGTTGTTTGTCTTCCATGGTCTTTCTTGCTGTTCTAGCAATTAGTACATTGAATTGTGCACTACTTTTTACAGGGAATTACATTTCCCTCCTTTTTTTTGTTTCAATTTATGCATGCAGCAGATGGCAAACACTGAAATTTTGGATCTTACTGATTGTCATTTCCTTACCAAGCCCCCCGACTTACCCAAATCTGAGAGTCTAGAAAGGTTATATCTTGGTGGTGTTAGAGCGAGGTCCGGGGATCAGGATATTCTGAATTTGAGGAACTTAAAAGTGCTGCATCTGATGAATTATGAAGTAAGAAACATAACTGGGGGAACCATTGGGAGGCTGAAGGGGCTTCAGGAGCTTGATGTCAGCTATATTGTGTGCGAGAATAATATAACGATCATTGGATGCACATCTTTGGAAAGATTGCATGCTGGTCTTTCTGGGTTGGAGCAATTGCGAAGTATCGAGATCCAAGGATGCATGAAATTCACTGATCTCTCGGCTCTAAGCAACCTACGGTCTAATGTTGGCGTTTGGCAGCCAAATTCTGATACAGATTTGTACGACTCAGACTTGAGCTCAGATTCATGAAAGAGCAGTATGTGATTCAGTCTTTGCCCTCTCCAATCATTAGATGGAAGCTGTTATATTACACTTTTTGATGACCGTTAAATCTGGGATCTTGGAGGTAATCACGCACCACTGTTTGTTATGCTGCACCTTATTGTTTGTGTTTGATGTTCAGACTGAGATCTTTGAGGCAAGTAGATTCGTAATAGAAATGTTAGCCTTCAAGACTTTTTTCTTTCCTCAGCAGACCCACATTATTGAGATGTACTTTGTGCCGCACGTCCCTTTGCAGAACTAAAAATGACTTGCGCAGTCTGAATACCAGAGTGGGGTACGACTAGGATTCTTGTTAGCAAATTTAGGACTCTCTCTGCTAACGGAGGTACAATCTGCCAAGATTCGACAATCGAGGATGCTGCTTGGCCGACTCTTCGCTGAAGATCGGCTGACTACGACTGAACTACGTGAAGCAACGAATAACCCATGGCAAGGTCAGGGGCGAATAAAGGTTAGGGAGGCGGCTCATGGATTGTATGAGTTCGTACTCCCATCTGAAGCGGCGAAGTTATCTCTCTGTCTCACTCTCTCAGGGCTGTAATTTCCCACAACTGGGATTTGGCTGCTGCTGCTTCTGGTTCTGCAGATTATCTATCCTTCTATGCTCTACGGTGTGTTATATTGGATTTGTGCTTTAGCTATTCCAATTATTTTCGTTCCAGCTCTCGATCTTTCCCAAGTGTTGGACTTTAGCACTTAGAATTTCTTATATTATTTGCTAGTCCTGCAGTGTTCCATGTTTCTGAACTACTACTGTTTTTACTTTTGAGCTTCAGCCGTCAAGAACCCTCTTTCTTCGACCATAGGTTCTCCCCCGCAAAATGCGGTCGGGTGTGAGAATCTCTAGCTCCTCAAGTAGTATTGACGATGATTCGTTTGAAAAAAAAAAACAAGAAAAAAAGCAAACAATGCCTGATTATGCTGCTTCTATTTCTTTTGGGTAATGCAACTCATAGATACATGTTACAATTATTGTTCTTGGTGTTCGTAGCTGAAGCAGATTTGCTTTGTATCTAAAACGTATTTGTGTCGTATACAAACTTATTTTTTAGAAAGTTAGGATATTTTATCATATTCCGCAACTATAGATGAGTATTCTAAGATCTTTTTTCTCTCTATCCGTAGAGTTTGTTCATCTCCCTTTGAGTCCTGTGTTTATGTTTGAGAGAGGAAGTTGCTGCTCTGGACCCTTTGTGTGTTGTTATGATATGACATTAACTGTTGCCCCTTCAATGACATTTTGTTAGTTGGAAGTCCTAATTGGAGTCCTAGAGTGCAATTTTTGAAAGATTTAACAAAATACTAAAAAAAAGGTTTTGTCCATTATGTCAAGTTCTGGACTATCGTTGCGTCCATTTGTGTGTTGCTTTAAGATGATCATATGATCAGTTGCCCCTATGCTCCGTCTCAAGTTCAATCATGACAGTACCAAAAGTCCTAAATCGGAGTCTAAGGGAGGAACTTTTTAATGATCTAACTAAACTACTAGAGAATGCTATCCTTCATGTTTAGAAACACTAAATACTATACATTATGTCAGGTTCTGGTCTATTAAACTGTTCCGTTCCTTTGTGCGTTACCTTGAAATGATAGTAATTAGTTACCCTCCGCTGCGTCTCAAGTTCAATAAAGACCGTAGTGTAAGTCCTAATTGGAATCCTAGAAGAGAACTTTTGAATGATGTAACAAGAATACTGAGTCTGTTATGTTTAATATTGACATGAGTACTCAATAGTATACTTACTGCAGCTGCCCTCTGCTCCAATTTTGGGTGATACTGTGTAGACTTTAATTCCTTCATGGACTCCGCAAGAGTATCTTGCTACTGTCATGGTTGGCTCTTCTAACTATCTAACTCATCCTAAGACCACTATCATGGTTGGCTCTATTGTGAAGTTACAATCATAGGCTGAGGCAGGGTGTTTGCGATGTGTCCCATGACAAAGTTTTGGAAAAAAATTAATACATCCCTATATATATTTACACAAGGAATCAAATATTCAAATTCATCGCATTTATAGAGTATAAAAAGTATTTTACCACCACAATACAACTCAGTAAACGGTTGGGGTCTTCCTTGGAGACATCTTTATCAATTCATTAACGTACGATTGATGATATGCAAATAGACCATACACACACCTTCATGCCGTAAAATATTTACGATCATAATGTTCACCATCGAAAATAATACATATTTTCTTCCGTTGTTGCAACTATTGCACACGCAATAAACCTGTTTGAGCGCATAAACTAATCTAGACTCACATAAACACACGATCCAATACGTTGAATTCAACAATCTATAACCTGTCGTATGTCAAGAACCAGTTGCTCCCAATAACTCGAGTTGTTGGGAGAAGGTTATACCGGATCATATACCACTCTCTAACACGCCCCCTCAAATGAAAGCCAACCTATGGGCTTGAAGTTTGCACAGACCCACCATGCCATGTGCTTGAAAGACAACGGTTAATATTGGGGGTAGTGGAGATTCAAACACATGACCTTTCGGTTCTAGGCTTCTCATACCATGTCAAGAACCAGTTGATCCCAATAACTCAAGTTGTTGGGTTTGACATGGTATCAGATCCTTCTGTGACCGAGAGATCTTGTGTTCGATTCCCGGTGACCCCCATTTGTTAAGCACATGGTATTCTTGTCTTCAGACCTGTGCAAACTTCAAGCTCTTGTGAGTGGCTTTCATTTGAGGGGGCGTATTAGTGTTGTGGTATATGATCCACGATTGAACCTCTCCCAACAACTCGAATTATTGGGATCAACTGGTTCTTGATATCGTATAACCGGGCTCTTCTTTGAGCCAGCAGATTTTAAAAGTGATGATCCTTAAACCCATGACCCACATGGCATTTGAGTGTATATTATGCTTACTAGGTCACCTAGAAAAAATGAAAGTTTTCTTTTTTGATTTGATTGAGGAATCAAATAGTCACAAAATGAGGGAGAAAAGTTCGATGGAGTGCCGCCGTCTAGATCGTGATCACCGCGTCCTTCCGCGACAAGTCTATTATTTAGTACCAACATGGGCGTTGGCCGGCACGGCAGGCCGACCTCGCTCCGCCGTTAAATATGGCAGCAAGCCAAGGAAAGCCTGTACACCACAACTGAAAACGACACAACTTTGGCGATAATTAATTCCTCACCATGCAAAACTGCTAACCCTTACGCGATTAGTTAGCTCTAATTAACCTTAATTAACTTGTTTAGAAAGAAGCAAGGTTGTCAAACCGGTTTATACAGTTGTGCCGGTTTGACAAGTGGAATGGTACAACCGGTGGTATAACAAGTTTGTGTCGGTTTATGCCGGTTTAAAAAAATGTGAAAACAATTAATATTCAATGTATTTAATCATATATAAAACATAGTTGTGGCTAATTTAGTTACAATCCAACAAATATCATCAACTTTTAACTAATACATTCATAAAATGAATAATGAATTAATTTTTTTTATTCATTAAATTCATTAAAATGATGTCATTTTACTTAGAATGCTTAAATCGATCATACCGGTCATACCGGTGGTGTCATGCCGGTTTCATGACCGGCACAGGTTGAACCAGGTTCAACCGGGTGGCATGCCACCGGCATGACAAGTTGACAACCATGGAAAGAAGTGAAAGGGATCGGAACGAAACGGAATCTGTGGATGGAATGAAGTATTTCGCGGTCTTCATGAAACCGTATTGCTATACCTAAAAGATTTTTATCGATACAAAACATTGAAAGTATGATCAAACTAGAGGTTCGGTTCAAAATATGTTATTATCGACTTTTTCGTTACAGGGTCTTTATTTTGCTCCTTGTTTCTTTTTTTTTTTTAGAGAAAATTTTTCTGGCTGCAAATTTTGTGAGATGGGCTTTCAATTTATTGCCAAAGGCATGCCCAGCTGCTTGAGTAATTTAAGGCAACGATAACCTAACTGGGACTTTGACTAGTGAACATGTATCCTTATTCCTTAATTTCGATGTAGGTGTGGAAAAAATTTATTGGGAATTTGTTTCCTTGTCAAGGCACTTTAAGAACGTCCCAATCTTTGTCCATCAATTAAATGAATGTTTTTTTTTTAACTCCCAGCAAGTTGAAATACAAATCAATAAACGAATGTATTATTATACTAGAAGAATCGAAAATACGGAAAATATACAATCCCTCGACATATTGGCGGCGGTCTATTGAAGTTAGATAATCTATGACAAAGTTTGTCTTCGTATAAACATATGGTATATACATGCACATGCCAATAATAATGCAATTATGCAAAGCTACTCAACAACTATAATACAAGGGTAAGAAAGCTCTAGGCGTAAGGCGAGCGTTG